TGTTCGCAACCCCTGCTAGATTAAGAACAATCTGATTCTGAGCCTTGTCCCTGTTTTATGGCATTTACTATTGATTGGGGATTTTTTAAATAACAGAGACAAGCGAGGTTATGTTCATGGCAATCATTCAAACCTAGATGTCCCTCTTGACACTTCGGATCTAACATTCCCCAGTCACTGGCTATATGGGTTGCAGAAGATCACAATTCTAGAGTAAATTATCATCATCAACAACATCTTCGAACTGCAGGGCTGGATTATGAAGTCCAGTTTTTTTCTTTCTTTTTGAGCTACTCCATCATTAGCTGGTGGGGGAAATGCAAAACATGGATTTTGTGGAGACCCAATTCCAACTTCTAGGGAGGCTCAGCTTCGCTGGTCAAAGAAGCAAGCAAGGAAATAAACAAAATGACAATGTTTCTAGACCTCATGGTTACAGTTGGGCAATGCTTGTTCAAATCTCAAAGGCAGGTGGGTAAGTGAATCGGGATCCTCATGGTTTGTGGGTGTGCCTTCACAACCCCTTGCATAATCTGAGGAAGTAGACATGACAAAAAAAATACCACACACACACACCTTTACATAATTTACAATAGAAAGTGAAAGCATGCAAGGGCGAAAGAAATCAGGCTAGTTAGCTCTGTTCAATTAACATATGATGACCAAGCAGGCTCAAGCCGACACTCAGATCCGCAGGACCCTGTCGGTTTCGTATCAGTTTGAAAAAAAAATAAATCCAAGAGAAAAAGGCAGGAGATGTTCCTTCTTTTTCCATCCTCACCCCAAGGGATGTCAGCCGATTCCTTTGTAACCATGTATGCTCACGAACACATGATGCTAAATTCTCCAGTCCAGCCTCTCTGAAAAAGCCAAGGCAACATTGTCCTTTTGGCCGAAAGATAGTTTAGAAAAAAATATATAATTCCCAATGCTCTGTTTTTCTGCGTCTCTCTGATCTCCATCTCGAATAAGTCATTGTCCCTGTTTTTCCTCTGTGTCGGGCTTAAAGGGATGCGCTGTTTAAACAATAGTTTTTAGAGACGGGCGTGAGCCGTTTTGCGCCAGTTTGTTTATTGGCCAAACAGGTGTTTGGCACATCAAAGCTCCGCCTTCTCTAGTGGGCGCCCAATCAGAGGCAGCGCCCAAAGGAGGCGGGGCAGGGAAGCCACGCCACTGCCTCCGAGTGGATGCCCACTGGAGGAGGCGGGGCTTTGGAGCGCTGGACACCGGTTCGGTCAATAAACGAACTGGCACGAACCGCCAAAACAATGATTCGTGCCCATGTCTAGTTGTTTCTGTGACCTGCTTCTCCTTTCCTTTCTGTTCTGTTCCTTTCCTCTTTCCTTTTCTTTTTTTTTAATTTCCCCCAGGAACGAAGCAAACGAAGGTTGCAGCCTACACATGGTGGTCATCGCAGTGTTGCCATATGGGGAACGTAAGATCTTTGTCTTGGAGGCTTGTCTGTATCTCAGGGTAACTCAAACAGGACTCACCTCTGAGCAGACATGCATGGATCTGCCTTAGAAAAAACACATGCGCATGAAAACGCATGCGTGAATATTAAACCTCTCCTTTATTCGCCGCTTGCGGCTTCCATTGCTGGCAGAGGTCCCTGTGAACTGCGGAGAACAGACGGCCTGGCAGTTGGGTGTTTTTTCTAGCAGCTCTCCCAACGAAACGAACAAATGCCTTCTTTGAAACCTCGGCCAAGTTGGTTACCAGTGTTTAATTCATGCAATACAATTAAGGGCTCTTCTCCAAATGAAGCCGTTGTCCCCAAAAGCCATTTCGGGAACACGTCCTTCACACCCAAAAGCTCTGGGACACTTCGATCCAACACAGGATCTCAAGAGGGACTAGCAGGAAATGGGCTTGCCTTGGTCAAATATCATCATCATTATCATCTTAGAAGTAAAGAACCAGAAACGACCCTACGGTGATCTAGACAAGGAGGGACAGTGGGGAATCGAACTCCCAACCAGACGCCTAAACCACGGAGCTATCCAAGAATGACTTCAGATACCTGAGAAATCACCGGTGTGAATCCCCAGTCCCCAAACCACTGAGAGTGGAAATCCAAAAGATCTGAAGGACTGAAAATTTAGAACAACTGTTTTTTTTTTAAAGATTAGCTTGATCTGAGAATAAGTCTGACAAGACAAAGGCTAGCGGTTGTTTGGAAGGAACATCTGTCCATGATCCACCCAACACCTGCTTATATTGGGGACAGGGGGCACAGCAGAAGTTGAACCATCATCATCATAATCATGGTGTGTCAAGTCAACTCTGACTTATGGTGAACCTTAGGGTTCTCTAGGTCAGTGGTCCCCAACCTTGGACTACAACTCCCAGTAGCCTTCACCACCACCTCTGCTAGCCAGGATTTCTGGGAGTTGAAGTCCAAGAACATCTGGAAGCCCAAGGTTGGGGTCCACTGCTTTAGGAAGAGAATAGTCAGACGTGGTTTACCATTCCCTTCCTCTAGGGGCGCTCTGGAACTGTGCAGCTTGCCCAAGGCCACCCAGGCTGGCTTTTCTGAAATAGAGAATACAGAGACGTGGTCTACCATTCCCTTCTTCTGGGGGGATCCCTGGGACTGTGCAGCTTGCCCAAGGCCACCCAGGTTGGCTCTCCTCCCAGGACGCCTGGCGGGGAATCGAACTTCCAGCCTCTGGGCTCTGTAGCCAGAGACCTAAACTAATGAACTATCCAGCCAGCTGCTGAAACTGAGTTATCTTTTAAAAATATTCCAGCTACAGATCCATGATAAACCAATGTGCTCCTTACTGGTTGTTGGGGGGGAAAAAAGCAGTCACTTCTTCAAAGGACGAACCAGGACCTATCAAATGGCCGAAAGTATTACTGAAATCAGGAACGTACCCTCCAGTGCTGATTTTGTAATAATTCCTACCATGGCTGTCACAACGGCAGATGTTGGCTCATCTACCGTGTTTTCTCGTCCATCGTTTGATGGATAGCATGCTTGCAATTCTGGGGAAACCGCCACAGAACGGAGCAGAGTTGACCTTTGAAACATTACAGGAAAGGCTGTTACAAAGCTGAGATTAGAGAAGAAAGCTTGGTGTAGAGGAAACCTAAAGAAGAGGTGGCACATCATCATCCATGCTCCAGTCTCCATGGACTAGGCGCTTTCAGGGCCTTTCCTTCGGAATATAATCAGCCGGACAGCTCCGTTAAACTGCTTATGACAGCCAGAAGAAAACTGAGATGATAATCTCTCTTGGACGCTGCACAGATACACCAGAGAAGCTGACGTTGGCCTGAATCCCATGTCCGTTGCCACTAGAGGAGACCCAGTGAAGCAGTGGCAGAAATCCGGCAATAAGTCACAAACGGATAGGCGCACTGCATCCGCAGAACTTATAGAGGTGTTGACTCATCAAATCCCCACAGAATCAATGGGCCCATCCTTGTTGTGACTTGCTCCTGGACTTCAGCCAATGGAATTTAGAGAATGTTGACTTACCAAGCCCCTGTGGATTCGATCGGTCTACTCTTGTTGGGACTAGCAACTGGATTTGGACCTTTGCCTGCCAATTGGCCATATTCTGGCCACGGAGGGGCCGACAAAGAACATTTCCTAAGGCAATGCAAAACATGCACTTTCATTTAGATCCTGTTCCATGTGGCTTTTCTCCACTGTTCTGTTGTGGTTGTTTTGTCGTCGTCGTCCTCATCACCATTGTACTGAAGCCTTGCTGACTAGAGATGCTGCAAAATCCGGGATCCCCTTGCAGTCCTCTGTCTCCTACACAACATTCCTCCTCTTTCTTGGGACTGCATCAGAGTTGGCTCCCAGCTGAGCCAACAACTTCTTTGTTCACGGAAACCCACAGCCTGAGCTGTTGGAATGTTTGTGAACATTCCACGCCTCCAAGACCGTGGTGCTGCCTTCTGACAGTAAACGTGATTATGTTGCCAGGGACCCTCTACGAAAGGCGCCAACATCTGCAGGAGACTGAGGCCAAAGACCAAAACCCTCGCCTGAGTCCCATCCCTCACAGTGTCTACCCCTGGAATAACAGCATCCAGTTCTCCCCCCCCTTCCAAGTGGATTCTATTTCAGAAGCAACAATCACTTCCATCCGTTAAATTAAATTTTTTAAAAAATCCAGGCCCTTTTCCCATTTCCCATGGAAACCTTTTGACTTTCAACATGGAATAGTTAAATAAACTAATAAAGTGAAAACAGGGATATGTCAATACCCAACTTAAACACAGATGAACTCAAGAAACAGAATGCTGGAGTGGCGTGTAAGAGAAATGCCAGTTGGCCCGATATTTTTTGCCACCTACAATATCTGGCTGCGAAGCCAGAGAGTTGGGAGTTCGATTCCCCCATTGTGCTTCCAGGGTGGAGAGCCAGCCTGGATGGCCTTGGGCCAGCTGCCCAGTCCCAGGACGCCCTCTGGAGGAAGGGCATGGAAACCACTTCTCAATATTCTCTGCCTAGAGACCCTGAGAAGCAGGGTAAAAATATTTTAGAAATCAACCCTTCAATAAAATTGGTCCAACTCTTTAGCTTCATACCATTCTCCCCCTGCCAATCTTCTCATAGGGGGCACCCCATTTCACCTCCTGCCACGGGAACGATGGCCATTGTAGTCCCACACCTCGAGAAAGAAGCAGGTTGCGGAAGCTGCCTTCCTTAAACACAAGTGGCTGAAACAAGAGCCTATCTCGGTTATTTACATCCTGCCTTGGCTTCCCTTGGGTTGGTTTTTTAGGCTGGGAGGCATCCCTATTAGTATTTTTCCCTCTTAGGCCTTTCACGCTACTACATCCGCGGAGAACGCTCAACCAGCAGCAAATTCTGATCCTCCCCAAGAAACACGTTCTTGCAAGGATCGGAGGATCCCCCCGACTTAGCCAATGCCACGAAGAAACCACATCTCCCCCAAAGCCACTGAATTTTGAAGGTACCCTTTGGCACCTCCACTGTGGTTGGCCCCCCCTCCCAGATGGCTCACAGCTCTTACCTTTTTGCAGGTGTATAATGTCGGGGAAGTTGGACAGGAGTCCTTGGTACAAGGAGAGGGTGTCCAGCATGAGGAAGAGATCGTTCTTGGGTTGGTCCGCAAACATCTCCCCCACGGTCTCGTAGGTCTTGCCCGTGTGTGAGATGGCCCCGTTGAGGGCGTCCAAGCTGTAGGGCGGGTCCATCTGGAAGGACTGGCTGATGGCTTGGAAGGCGTTGCCCAGTTTCTGGAATTCCTTACGGAAGCCCCCGACGTGCTTCCGGACCAGCTCGGATGCGACGTTGGTCAACTGCAGGACGCTGTCGTCCATCTTCTTGCTGAAGGCCTTGAAGGCATCCACGCGGTCCTCCACGTCCTGGAGGTCCTGGTGCTCGGTGGGGATCTGGAGGGTCAGGAGGAAGCTGGCCCCCACCATCTCGTCCTTCTCAGCCCGGCGCTTCCCCATCTTCCACTGCTTGTCGTCCCGGCAGGTGAGGAAGTGCTGGAAGCCCTCGTACTGGGAGAGGGTCGGGTGGCTGGTCATATGGTCCATCCACAAGATCAGCCTCCGCTTGCGCTTCTCAATGAAGTCTTCCTCGAAGCGGCCCGTGGCTTGTTTCTCGGGCAGGTGGGGCACGGAGAGGACCGTGAACTTGTGCAGCAGGCGGTTGTACAGCCAATCGAAGTGCTTGTAGCGCCGGTAGACAGGCGACTTGCTGTTGCTCGGTGTCAGCCGGTAGGAGATGTAGCTCTTGATGCCTTTGAACTTGGTCTGCTTGGTGGGGTCCTCCACGGAGCAGATCAAGGGGTGCGGGTTGGGCCTCCACTGGGGGCCCTTGGGGCCCATGTCGATGTAGTAGGCCTCGGCCACCTTGGACAGCATGGGCACGTCCCCCAAGAGGAAGGCCTCCACCCCGGAACGGACAAAACAGGAGAAGCGGTTGAGGTTCCGCCCCACCACGCTTCCCCTTTTGGAAGAGCCGATGCTGTCCTGCCTCTCCAGAGACGGCTTGGGGCGGTAGGCCATGTGGTTCGGATAGGGATACGGCCCGGGGTGGGAGAGGTTGGCGGACGGATGCCCGTTGGTACCAGGCCCGCTCCGGGGTTCCTCCACCACCGTACACCCATCGTCCCAATCGTCCCAGTCGTCCTCGTCGTCATCTTCAAAGCTGCCCTGGTGGGAGACGCTGGTGCTGGAAGGGGGCAGGTAGAAGGACGAGCCGTTTCCAGGGGACCCGGAAGAACTGTTAGAGTACTCAGTGTACGTCGAAGCCGACCTGGTTCGGAGAACCTCCACGTACGAGGCAGGGAAGAGGCCGGTCTCCCCTCGGCTGTTGGTCCCCTGCAACCAGCCGTCCAAGGAGTGCTCGCTGAAAATCACCAGCTCCTCGTTCTCCTGGATGCTGATCTCTTCTTTGTTTTCACTCTGGAAGTTGTAGAGCGCTCTGGCTTTCAAAGCCATGGCTGGTCCCTGTAACAAGAGCCCGCCAGCTGGTGCAAAAATGTGGCCACCCCTCCCGCTCTGGTTCCTTGGATACGCCAGCAATAAACAAGCAGGGGGGGGGGGAGAGGAAGCACGATACCTCTCTCCGGAACCTCAAAAGCAGTAACAGGTTTCAGGAAAAGAGGAGAGTCTTGCAGACTTGCAGAACGATGCAAATTTTTTTCCTTACGAATCCCAGCTGAAGTTGTTAAATTCCATCCTGTTTTCACAGTCCAGAGGAATTAATGAAGAATGACATGCTTGGGGCAAACCAAACAACATTTTCTGATCTCTCCTTTTGAGTTATATAGGCCTCCGTCAGACGCCAAGGTAACCAGAAGACAGTCATCTCTGGGTTGATTTTATCTTGCAAACGAGTTATTCCTGAACCCACAACATGGAGTATATGTAGAAAGCTTAGCAACCTCTCTCCGATGAAATCATGCCGGGCAGAATGGATTTCTTTGTGAAACCGTCTTTCCCTCTCTTGATAGTCCACATTTCTGTCGTTTTTGTCAAGAAATCCAGTGCAACGCACGCTCGTGGCACGCTTCGAAAAGTCCTCTCGGGATTGACCCAAGTGAAAACAGAAACAACAACAAAAAACTCTTGTGTTTGTACAGACTTGACAATGTTTTGCAAATTTGGACAGTCTCCTTTTGGGGCCTGGTTCAAAACCCACAAACCTCCAGAGGGGTGAAGGGGAGGGAAAAATAAAAGGAAAAGGATTTTAAAAACACAGATCACTCCAAACTGGAACAGGTCACGCCTTAGTCCGTGGAAGATGACAAACATTACACACCCACCCTGCTTCCTCGAAAAATACAAAGTTCATGTCAAGTTCTTGTTTTAGCTTTTCTCTCTTCTGTTTTTTTTTTCTACTGGAAAAAAGAAAAAGGAGAATGAAAAAGAGTGTTTTCCTCTTTCCAGGAGGAGCGAAAAATCAGGGAATGGGGAACAAAGAGGAAAGAAGTCACACGCTCCCCAGGGCAGCCACGCCAGGGTTCCCAAAATAACTGGGGAGGGCCTGCAAAAGTTATTCAGATCCACCGGCTGAGCGTAAAATCCTTTTTGTGGTGGGCCTCTTTCCTTGGGCTGCTGCCATCCGCTGGGAAACTAGCACAGGTCAAAACAAATCACCGTCAGAAGGGATTTCTTCTTTTGAGAGAGAGAGAGAGAGAGAGAGAAAGCCTGCGCCCCCCAGAACAGAGAAGCGCATTCCTGCGCGTCCGCTTAACGCTTACCGCAAAAACCGCAGCAAATCCGGTCGCTGGTTCCCAAAAACAGGGGCGAGGAAGGAAGAGGGGGAGAGACAGAAGGGTGTGTGTGGGGGGGGGAATCCAAGATCAAAATATATATGGTTTTGAGGATAGACCTAAAGAGGGAATGAGTTGCTCTTCCCCACCGGATTCCTGGTGCGAAGCTTGGAAAGTCCGATCAAGTGGCTAGGAGGAGAGCGGAAGGGGTGCGCTGGGGTTTGGGGGACCCCCTAATTTCCTCGGGGGGCGCGATCCAGTCCAATGGGAGGAAAGCCGGCAGGGCACAGCGTCCGACCCCTCTGGGGTGGAGGAAGCCGGGCAGGGGGGGACTCTCCCGGGCGCCCCTCTGTTCCCCGAGCGGGAGCCGATCCACCTTGCGCCGGGAGCGCATCCACCGCGCGATGGCTGCCCGCCGGCCTTCCTCCCTCCCTCCCTCCTCTTCCTCCTCTTGCTGGCTCGCTTCCCAGCTGTTGTTGCAACGCGTCGCTCTCCGGAGGGCGATCGCCGGCCGCACCAGGATCGGGGACGAGAGGGAGCAAAGATTCCCCCCCGCCCCAGGCCGCTTTAGGAAGCCTCTCGGGTCCCCCCTCGGCGGATCCCCCGCTCGCTGCCTCTCCTTTCCCTCCTGCGATCCAAAGGGAGCCGCGGAGCGTGGCCTCTGCGCTCGCCTTTGCGCGCCGCTCCCGTGCGCAACGCTGCTGGCGCCTACCTGGAGAGCCCGTGGGGGGGACAGGTGGGCTTCGGGCGCTCACCTGCCTTCTTCCCCTTCTCCGGGAAGGGTGGGGGGGTGGATCGCTAGGCTCTCCGCTGCCCGGCTGGCTTTCCGATCCCTCCTCCGCCCTTTGCCCCCTCCCTTCCCTTCCTCGCCCCGGTTCTAGGTCACCCTCCTGCCTGCCTGCTCCGTGACGCACAGGCGCCTCGCTCCGGAGGCTCCAAAGTTTGCTCGGGTTTTTTATTTTTTTTGCGCAAGCCGCGCGGCCGGCAGCTGGGAGGAGGCCGGCTGCCCTCTTGAGGCGGCCCGGAGGGCCAGCGCAGCGGGGCTGCCCTCGGTCCGGCTGGAATCTTCGGCCGGCCTCTGGCAAGCCAGGCAGAATCCGGCCTCAGAGCCCTCCCTAAGACAGGGGCGGCTGGGACCCACATGGGTAGGGTGCAAAAATAGGTATTAGTAACTGCTGAACAGCGGAGTGGTTGAGATCTCTAGCTGGGGGCCAGAGGTTCAGAGTTCGAATCCCCCTCTGGGCCTCCTTGATGGGGCTGGACTGGATGACCCCGCAGGGTCCCTTCCAGCTGTGCAGTTCCAAGAGCCCAAGAAGGGTGTGAGCCTGAGTGTTTGGATGCCGGAAGGACACACAGTGCCCCTTCCGGACTACAGTGCACCCTCGACTTACAGATGGCTACTAAGAAGGGTCTTTGGATGCCAGAAGGACGCACAGTGCCCCTTCCGGACTACAGTGGACCCTCGACTTACAGACGGCTCGACTTACAGACTTTTCGAGTTACAGACTTCTCCGGCCGCAAAATTTAGGTTCGACTTGCAGCCGGAGAATCGACCTACAGACCAGGAAAAAGAAACAAAAATGGAACAAAAATGGCCAGTTACGGCATTAATCGGTTTTCAATGCACTGTAGGTCAATGGAGACTCGACCTACAGACTTTTCAACCTGCAGCCACCATTCCAATACTGATCAATTCTGTAAGTAGTGGGCCCACTGTATCAAAATGGTTTCCAGCCACTTCTCCCTGGGAAGATGGAAGCCAAGAAGAGGCAGGCTCAGTGGTTTCCAACCACTTCTCCCTGGAAAGATGGAAGCCAAGAAGAGGCAGGCTCAGTGAAGGAGTTGTGATGTTCCTTGTGCTTTCTGCCCTGTTCCCCAGATGTCCCTCCAGGTATGTGTGCATCACCTGGAGCCAAGAGCACCTCAAACCCTGGGTGACGACTGGCTACATCTCCAAGAGGGGTCTAAAAAAAAAGGCCTTACCCCCAAGGGCTCTGTCACATTTTAGGAAGCCCCAGCAAAGTGGTATATCTCGGCCAAAACTCTGTCTTCCTTTATGTATAGTACATCTGTCTTCCTTTATGAAGACAGATGTATGATACGTGGCACATTTAGTTAAGATGCTACATTCACAAAGGGAAGCTTTGCTGCCCTTTAAAGATTAATACCCCTTTTTTAAAAATATTCTCTCATTTTTGTATCTGAAGCTTAGCTATACCTAATCAGAGGTCTGTCTCACAGAGCCCGATGGAGCTTACAACCAAGTCAATGGGCACAGGATTGCAACGGAAGAGGCCTCCCCTTATCCAGATGTGGTCCTGCCCGGAGCAAACCCCGTTGTCTCGGGGCAGATCACTCCCTGTAACTCCACTTGTTTCAGTTGGTCTACTCTTTTCATGGCTAACTCTGGACACAAGCCACATGCACCGCTTTGAGGATAGTTCCTTACCTGCTGGTTATGGATCACTAGATAACTAAACTGTATTGCATTTAACTGTAATTAATAATACAAGTACAGCAGGACCGCCATATCCACGGGGGATCTGTTCCACGCTCCAATAGCGATGCTGGAAAATGCAGATATATCGGACGCTATACATTGCGGTCTCTGGCTCCCCTGGTGGCTGGTTCTGGTAAATACACCCTAGAAATACATCTATTTGCAGGGTTTTTTAAAAATAGCATTTCCAGCCAGCAGATAAGTGAATCCGCGGATACTGATCCTGCAAATAGAAGGATCCTACTGGAACTATCGTAACATAACTTGAGCCTTGCATTAATGTTTTTACCATGTAGGCTGTGTGTTCTAACGATTTGAACCAATGTTCCAGGAAAACTGATATTAAGGCGCCACCGCATCTTATGTTGCTTTTGTTTCCGTTGTGTGTTTCTTGTTGAAACGCTCGCACACACGCGTGGTCCTCAAGAGACAATTCCACGGGGCAGGTCCCTGACCCTCCGGAATCTCTCTAATTGCGGTTTTCGGAATGGAAGCCACGGAAGCCTGTGCGAGTCCGTCCATCGCACATTCCGTTCTTCCTCTTTTCCTACTGCTGTCCAAGGGGAATACAATTGTGCTGGTCTCAAGCAGCCTTGTAGGAGTTCAGACTAAAGGGGCCGTGGATAATTAATGAAGTCCCATCATCCCTCGCTAGTTGACCGTGTTTGTCTACGGTTCATGGGACTTGTAGTCCACTAAAACCGACTTTCCCTCGCGTTCTTTTTTTTAAGGTGGCACATGGTCTTTGTAGTTTGGAGAACCCTTGTGGTTTGTCCAGGCTTGGGCATAAGCGCCACTGCATCCCATGGATTTACTCCCGAGTAAAAGCGTTCTTAAGATGGGGGCTATTTGGAGTCACACGAATAGCGCTGCGTGTTATTTTGCTCCCTTTCCCAAACCAGGCTTGAAAATTCCACCTTAAAAAAAACAAAAACACAACAACTTGCGGCGGAGGGGGCCGCCGTGCGCATGCGCTTCATGAACGCCCGCCCGTGGAAGGTGGGCGAGAACGCGCGAAGGGGAGGGGCGGAGCAGGGGGCGGAGACACGGAGCGGTGTTCCGTTTTACGTCATGCCGAGCGACGGACACGGAAGAAGAGGTAGGTTGGCGCGAGTGTGACGCAGACGCGATACGGGCGCTTTTTTTTTCGGCTCGTCGGTGGCGGCGACGTCGAAGTCCGCTAGTTCGATTCCCGGCTGGGGTGGAAACGAGGGTAAGTGAGGCAAGGCTGGTTCTCCGGCCTCGATAATATTTTTCTTTTGCTCGTAAGATTCGTGGCTGATTCGGTTAACGAGGCAGAGGAACGAACTGGGCAGCCAATTAATTGGAACCATAGCCTGCAAATACCCCCCCATACTCTTTTTGTGACGTTGTTTTGTTGCCATGGTTTCCTTCTTCACCCAGAAAGAGATGCCAGCCTCTGAGCATATGCAGAGTGTTATCCCCCCACCAATCCAGAGTAAAACTGCAAGGATAAGGGGGCCATGCGGTTGTCTTTTTAAAAAATTCCCATCCAAACCGATAGTTTGCCCCAAACGAGCAGGAGGGTAATGGAACTCCACGTCCCATCATCATCCACCAGCGCTCGGGCAGGCTGGCCGCTTACACCTGGGCGCCCCTCCCCTCCGAAAGATGATGCAGGAGATCTGTTCTAAACCCCCTCCAGTGGATGCTGAAAAATGTGGATTATAGCGAACGCCATGAGCTTGGGCCAACTCTGATCACTTCATTGTTTTTTTTATACACACACACACACACACACATATAGATCCACGGTCTGAAAGTT